TATGTATGACACTAACATTATATATTGAATATGGCTATTTTTTCTGACGTTTGGCGGCGCAGTTTCATTTCGGAATAAGTCGGGCCGGAAAAATCGACATCGCCGGGAAGGGATGTGGATACAACTCGGTATTGTATCTTTACTCTAGTATGATTTAATTTTAATTTTGTTTTACAAATGCCCACTTTAGGACAACGGTAATGTAAATAAGTTCATGGAAATTTATATATTATATTCATATACGACAACTTAAAGTAAAACTTGAAAAGCTGGTTCATTTTTTATAATGTTAGGTACCCAAAATTTTAAAAAAAGAATTAAAAGCGTATTTTGATATTACAGTTGTTGAAACTCCTAAAAATGGAGCTAATTTAACCAAATTGGTATTGACATTTTTAGGAAAGTTAGCTCAGCTGACTGTAGACCGCCTAACCTATTGACACATTTGATCGCGTGGTGCTAAACGTAATATTTCTGCAAAATATGCATGCTGCCCTCAGCGGCATTTAACATGGTACATCCTCCGGTCTCTCGCAGATCATATGAGTGAAATCATATACTAGTATACACTGGTATACAACTAGTTTAGGATTATATTTTGTAGAGCCAACTGTATGGGTCTCAGTCGCAATGAATAATTGTGTATGTGATTGGGTGCATATGAAACACTGACGTACCACTGAGAGTTGGAATACCTTCTTTATGACAAAGAATGAGAAAACATATATACATATCGTCTTGTTCTTTTAACCGCATTATTTTAAATTATTATATCATGAAAAAAATAATATATTCATCAGAATTTTCTAGTAATTATTCTTACAGCGACTTTCGTTCATTGAATGATGTATGATGACGCTATCTTCAGATCCATTTGGGCTTGTGCCAATGTCGTATTTTGTAGAGTAGAGGACTATTTATATAGGAGACGTTTCGGTAAGGAATTGTTAAAATTGTTCTATTGGAACATCAAAATCTGTTATTGGATATTTGCCCAATAATCCTAGCGGTTATATAGGTTATTTTTATTTAGAGGCGCCCGGGGAACCAAAATTTGCGACGTTAACGAATTCAAAACAACGATCTTGTTCTAGAGACATTATGATCTGAAAAATACCTCAATACGCTAGTTTAAGCGAGAAAAAAAATCGGAGAAAAGTAACTCATTTGGTGGTATATCACGTATACCTTTTTTTTAGTACGCTCGACTCTATCCATTAATTGGCTTATGTGTACGTTTTCAGTTGCACAATGTCGGTGTCGTCAAGTCCCATTGTAAGTATCACATCGAAACAGACATATACGAAATATTACCCTCTAAATAACCTCTTCTTATCGGGCAATCGTAGGTCAAACGCGTTTTTACTGTTTACAGTCAGTTTACTTTGAGAGTCCGATTTGCGTTGAAGTACGAACGCTGTAGATTGGCGTTATTAGAGTTTTGAAACATTGTCGCCGACATAGACAGTACTATGACTACATGTTATTACAAACTGTTATAACAGTGAAAGGAATTTGTGAGTTTAGACAGTGAACGTTGTCCGCCATACAGCACATTGAATTGTACAGGAATATATATTTGAGCATATTACTTGTATAAGGTTATTAGGAGAATACCTCAACGTATGCACGAAGACAATACAGCTGGAGTATCGACCGACGCTGTCTGAGTGCATACGTTGAGGTATTCTCGTAATAACCTTATTATTATACATCTTTTCCTTCCAAGGATACATAATGGGAATGCCGACATCCAAAACTTTTAGAACAGAATCAGCGAACTTCTTTGTGTGGAGTTCGGTCAAACCCCAATGGCAGCCATGTTTGTTTTTATTATTAGAAGACGCTTACGCGCGTATAATTTGCTTATATGGTAGGATAAAATTACCTGTTACGGTGACGGGTGACAGATGTATAATAAACTAGTATATTACGAGCATATATTTGAAAGAAATTGAAGCTTTATATTCAAAGACATGAAAGAAGAACAAATTACACACTCAACCTGTTGTCCTGTGCTTCTGGGATTGACTCCGTAAATATAATTACAGTCTTTCAAATAATAAGAAATGTTGTTGTTTGTTTGGTCAAGCACTAGATGCTCTCCATGGTTAAGGTAAACGATTTTGGTGGACGGAGATTGCGTTGTCATGGACAACTGGAGATATCATCATGACCGCTTTCTCAAACCTGCCCTGCAGGAAATGTTTCATAGACGAGGGGATTATTCTTGCTTTTGAATAGTGTTCGATATGTAAAACACATTATTTATTTACATGAAATTCGAACACGCGCTGCGCGACAACAACTGCGCTTTAAATAAACATTCTCCCATGCTTTCGGACGGTTGCCACGAATCAACTAAAACTTTGTCTACTACTAGAGTAGTCTGAGGTTAAACCTGGTACTGATGTCTGTTTCGGCGACACCAATTCTACAAATTTGAATAAAATGTTGCAATCACGTCAATGTTTATCTAACAGACGTCAATGCAAAACGGACGCTCAAAGTAAAACGGGTGTAATGTACTATACTGCTCTGTCATCCATTCACAAACACCCTACTTTCACGTGACCAATTTATAACTTTATAACATTTCCCTTGGCCACGGCGCAAGAATACTGCAATTCAAATGTTTTGGTATTGAATATCAAGTTTACTCAAATTCTTTTCAACAGGCATATTACGCATTTCAGGTGTTATATTTCTAGAATTCAAAAGGATGTGTGTTTTTGCAAATTGATGCAGTTTGCCATACTTTGTAGTTTTCAGACCGCATAATTATGTGCTTATGGAATCATAGCTTTACAGTTGTCGGATTGTTGTTTTTCAGTAGAAAAAAGTGAAGTAACCAGTAGAAATAGAAAAAAACAACAACATTTTTTCACAGTTTCTGTCCCGATTTCCTATTGACACCCATTCTCAGTAATCAAAATGTTCTAGGCTCTGTAACTTCCTTCATCTAGCACACACTCGCAACCAGAGAATTTTTCCCTTGAAGACAGTAAGAAACACTTGCAGGAACGTACGTGCAGACACGATCACCGGTCCGGGATACCGGCTGACGAAACCGCCGTGGGTTATAAGTTCAACATTGGTCACTGAACACGCAGTCACCTGATTTGGAACGTTACATCGCATTTTATCACTGGGGAACATGGCATAAATACGTCGGGAGGAAATCGTTTTAATTGTTTGCTGTGTGTCTTGATGTAATCTGAACTTTTATTTTTTAACTTGTTTTTAAATAATATCAATTAAACAAGTATCGTTACATTCGACAGATCTACCTAAAATATATCTACGCACCTCCCTATTGGGCTGATAACCCCTCGCAAAAAATAGAACAATTGTGTTTTCGTTTCTTTCCCTTGTAAGTGCGTATGTGTGAGCATATATACGACATAAGGTAATTGTACTGCGTTTGTCGTTCTGCTTCTCATTTTCAACACTAACGCCGAATCATGGCACCGAGAAACGACGTATTTCAAAACTTCGAGGAGGAAGACTCAGCGTCTGATTCGTCTACAACAGTATTGGACGATGTCGTTCAGACCGAGAACGTGTTACGCGTTCCCGTTAAAATCGTCTGGAGGAACGTAGTGCTGATGGGTGCTCTGCATCTAGCCGCACTGTATTCGTTATTTCTCATTCCTTCCTGTCGTTGGCAGACTTTACTCTTCGGTAAGTGGCAATGGCGGCTACGTACTATTTACCACTTTGTTTATTATCATGCGAATTTTTGAGATTAATACTACCCGGGATTGCTCCGACACTGGCAAGACGCGGACAGAGACAATTGACTTTTATTGCACGTTTCATTTTGATATACAAGCCCAGAACAATGCGGGTGGGCATCCGGCCTGACCGTCCGGGGGCTCATATCAGAATATTATTATATCTTATATATTTTTCACTTTCCACTCTATCCAAATAACTTACTGACAAATTTGTTTCAAAATTGATTTAAAAAAAATATTGCCCCAACATTATGATAGTATCGGTCCCTGGAGGGGCAGGGTTAGAATTACGTAAGAGGAACATAAAATTTAAATCTCTACTATATGTATATATCAAAATTAGCACCCCATTCATGAAAAAAACAAAACAAAAAAAAACACCTGTTGGCCTAAAATTGATCATGAACCGGGGTTAGTGATTAAAGTGTGACCATGGAGTTACCTCCATGGTGTGACCAAACGCTTCAGTACAGCAAATCTCAAGTATTTGGGTAGCATAATCAGTAAATTTTTACTAATTTGCCAACTCTTTTCAAGACATAATAATTCCAATTTACCACATTCATTCTGTGACCAACAAATGCTAATCATAAAAAACAAACAAAACAATACAATGAATAAGTTAATGATATTTTACTGAAAGACTGAAAAGTATACAAAAATGTTTGTGTTGATCAAATCTGTCAAAATCAAAATTGTCAGTGAATAGTAAGCAGGTTTGATAACTTGCTGCTCATACAGTCAAACCTGTGTTAGTTACCACCTTCGTATAGTCCTTTTGCAGTTTATATTTACATGACTAGTGACTGCCTTTTTGGCACCAGTTCAGTGCAAAACCAACGTAATAAAGGCCACAATAATAAAATATTATTGCAAGTTTATTGCAAGTCTCTACTCTGAAATTTTAAATTTAACCAAGACAAACTAACTTTGACTTATTCCCAATCTTCAAATACGCTGTTGACATATTTTTCCTTGAACTGAGAAATTAACATTTTCATTTACAAAATACTAGTTATTCAATGCATCTATAAATTTCTTCAGGTACCTTGGGTTGTCACTACACACAGGTGCGACTGTATTATAAGTTTGAAAAAACAAATGCACAGCTAAAGCTTCATAATGGGTGTCATGAGCTTGACTGTGTCAAAGTGTTAGCTGATGCAACACTTCCCTTGTCCTTATTAATTATGACATTTTGGTTCAAAATTACCATTTCAGAAAATTCATAACAATTTCCAAAACATTGTGGTGAGAAAATATAGTAGCGTTTAATATTTAAAGTTCTTCAACGTTCTACTTCCCTCAACAGGTTATTTGTCAAAGTAAACGCTACTGATGATGAAATACAATATTATCTTTTTACAAAATTATAATAATGGTAAAAAAAAAACTATTGGCATTGCACCACAATTGTGACATTATTTCAGCTGCACAGCGGCTAATTTTTTTACCCCTTTCTTTTTGTTGTTGAATTAAAGGTAAAAATCACTGATCATAATTTTGTCCATGTTTATAAAATTTTAAGTAGATTTCACATTAATAAAAACATAGCTAGGGTCAGTTTGTTTTTTCATTTGATATGATTTTTTTAAGTTTCAAAAATGATGATAATATTACAAAAACATCATTGTAAATGGTCTTTATTATCATAGTATGTGATCCAGTAATCATTAGGAATGTCTCGGGGGATTTTAAAATAGCATGGTCAAAGTCCACTGTAATGGCACGCGGTTCACAGGTGATGTGATACGCGTGTGTAAGTGCGGTCATTCATATAACATTAGTAATCAAAGGAACATTCATGGTGTTATCAGTAACTATGACAACTAATGATTCATACTTATGAGTGAGGAATATTATAACTTAATGGTTGAAGAGAGATTCCGCAGATATGTAGCTTAATTATTGACATTACATAGTATATAAACAACTAACAACCTGTAAAGTATTAAGTTGATTATCAGTGAATACTGAACACTGGGAATTGGATTTTTGCTTGTTGACATAGATAGAAACATCATCTATCATTAATTTGATTGACACATAAATCGAGGGGGGGGGGTCGTCACCTGCACATGCAGCAGATGGCCATAGCGTGACGTTGTTTACAAACATGTATCACCCATGAGCCTTTGCGGGTTTTTTGCATGCATTGTATCACCGCTTACATCTACCGTGTGTGCTCAAGTGATGATCATTCTGCCTTTGTTCTTAGTTTTCCATTAATAAGAAAGAGGTTCTCTTCTACAATGCTTTGTACATATGTGCAGTAACATGCTCAGTAGTGACAAATTTGAATTCGGTTCAAACTGCCTAAAACGTAAATTACCTCACTTACACAGAAGTCAGTGCATCCTGAAAGAAGTCTGTCGCTTTAGATCAAATTACAAACATCTATGATGGCAAAAATGAAAAAGTTTGCATCATATGGTTGTTTATAGATGATTAATATTTTTGTATATTATTATATATTATACTTCTAGCCCCCAAAAAACAATAGAATTGACCTTGTGTAAAAAGCCCTATTTGCGTTCAGTCCAAATATATCTACACTAGCTTGTTCAAACATTCAAATTATCCCTTATTATACAGGCTTTGTACTTAAAATACATAATGACTCCATAATATAATGTTCTATATCTACCACCGCGCAATGTCATGTTAGTTGATCAGGGGTTTTCTAAACCAGGGAACAGGGGCGCAGTGCCTTGATACTCTCGGCTGGCGCCCTCTTACTGAATTGCTGATTGAACTTTCAAGTCATAAATATATTCTTGAGCCGCTCACTTCCATGCTGCTGCACAACATGAAATCTTTCTCAAATATATTTTTCTCCATAAAAACTTCCCAGAAACACCAGCTGACAGTGTGTCTGGACACCAAATACACTAAAATTACTCTAAAATATTTTAATGGAGATAGATACACCGGCCGTTAAAACGGCGCAGAAGCCTTCCGATATGGCATCGCTCTACTCGCTCGCCTATGTGTGCTCCCTCTTGTTAATTTCTTTCTAGAAAAACCCCTGTTGATTGTACATGAAATTCTCCCAAATAAAAATCCTGATGAAATTTGGTGATCAATTACCTGCCCTCTTCTTGAATATATAATTAACTGCTCATCGCATTAATATGAGCATTTGTGTGCCTGTGATAAAAATAAAATTATATTTTAATAAAACAGCATACAATATGTAATTTTTGGTATACGTGCACTTGGATAGAGAAAATACAACATTCATTCTTGTTTGTTAAGGACATACTGTAGAATACTTTATTTTCGATTTGAATTTACTTTTGCTATTTTCGCTGAAGGGATGATTCCGTGAAAATAAAATTCAGCGAATATACTTTTTTTCCTATATTTCACATTAAACTCATCAAAAATCAGTGAAAATTAATTTTATATATAAAACGGCCAAAAAGCCTTTTCAGCGAAAATTAATTCCAGCGAAAATAAAGTATTCCACAGTATATGGACAATGTATATTTGATGAATGTATATTTATTTGTTTTGCACACATGGCAGAATAAGCAGTGTGATTTATCACACGCCTGTTCAGTATAAGATCACCCCATAGCCGCATGACATGGTGTGATCATGCATTGTCTGGATTCTGTATGTTTGCCAGCATTGTTACTGAACTACATCTATAGTAATTGGCTTATTTTAACTTTCTATGTAGTGAGTACACGTATGTACAATTCATATACTGTGAATCTTTATCAAAATAGTCAGTTAATTTTGTTTATTATAAATCTAAATAATTAAATTATAATTATAATTATAAATTATAATTATAATTATAATTATAAATTATAATTATAATTATAAATCTAAATAATTATAAATTATTATTATATAACAGCTCCAGCACACCATTTATTTGGGGATGAAATTCCTTTTTATATTTTTTTGAGTAGCTTCTCCGAAAATATGGATATTTTAAACCTAGCTTTTCTATCATTAATGTTAGTAAGTTTTCCTTTCCTAAAAGACTCATTATATTTACATTGTTAATACTTCAAACAAGTTTAAAAATATTGATTTAAATCTTTATTTAGTTCAAAAAATAAGTCATAGCATTTATTTTGTGATTAGTTTCTTATGTTTTTTTTTTCTACTGTTCTTCTGTTTTTTGTTGGCCTTTACTGCGGTATTTATTGTTGAGTTTTGGAACAAAATTGAATGAAATATGAAATCAAATAAACTTGTATGGGGTAGGTGGGTTCTGTGTTATTATATATTGTTCAGAAACTTTAACTTCAATCGAATGCAACAATTTTTCCTGCCAAGATTTGGATGTATCATTTTGCTCAGATTTAAGTATTTTTTATATATTCTTTGTTAATGTTGGACCAAACAAACATACCTTATCATTTGTTACAAGTCTTCATTATAATTTACAGAAAATATTGAAAAAATTAATTTTGTGAAATAAATGTGCATTTAAATATTATTTATTTATTTTTTATATACTTTTCGTTCCAGGCATTGTCTTGATGCGGCTTGGTGGACTTGGCATAACTGCTGGTGCACATCGTCTGTGGGCTCATCGTTCATACAAAGCAAGGTTTCCACTTCGTGTTTTCCTTGCTCTAATTCAAACCTTGGCCTTCCAGGTAAATTAATTTCATTCATAACAATTTAGAAATTAAGCCAATTGCTGTTAGAATATAGATTTCTGCTTGAGGATTAAGCTCCATAATTTTCATTTAATTATCTCCAACCCTTGAGTAAACTGACCATGCTTATGTAGATTTTTCCAATGGCCGTTTATCGTTTCAAGGCCGAACTGGAAAGTGGCCAATGAGGTTTATATAGTTTATATGCAAAACCAGTTCTTCATGTATAAATCTCATTTGAAAAATTGTCTTATTTACAGTACATACGTATGTAAGTACCGGTAATAATAGTATAAAAAGTTATAAAAAATATAAAACTTTTGTTAGGGTAGAAACCCTATAGATTTCATTTGTCCGTAAAACGTTATTGTGATCATGTTCAAAAGTGTTTATTAGTGTTATGGAAGCATTCGAGCGTCTTTATTTATGTCACATTTAAACACTTTCTTTTGTTTATTTCAAACACAGAACAATGTAGCACAGAATAAAATCATGTTACTGAACACAAAAGTTCATATAACGATGAAAATTTTTGCTGGCATTTTGGGGTGTAATATATCACTAAATTATGACTACAATAATAAGGTTATCCTGAAATACTGAAAAGTATGCACTCGTGCAGTATATATACGATCACATTGACAGTTTGACGACCGATATGGTACTTTGTGATATTCTTGTAATAACCTCGTGTTATTTTTGCTCTATTTACAGAATGATATATTTGAATGGTCACGTGACCATCGAGTACATCATAAATACTCGGAAACTGATGCGGATCCGCACAATGCTAAACGTGGTTTCTTCTTTGCACATGTGGGATGGCTACTATCTCGAAAACACCCCGACGTCATAAGGAAAGGGAGGTCAATTGACCTTAGTGATCTGCATGCAGATCCTGTTGTTAGATTTCAAAGGAGGTAAATTTTTTTTTTTTTTTAATTTCATGCAACACCAATAGTACTGTAACTGACAATGTACATATGTGCATCTGTTTGTCTGCACTTGTATCTCAGATATGTCCCGGCCAATTACATTCAAACTTTACACACACATCAACAATCATATAATAATAATAATAATAATTTTATTCAACACGAAAATCTACTACAGAGAGTAATTTTATGATTAAAATATATGATACATGCAAATGCATTTTTTATGATCTGATAGAAGATGGCAGAATGGCGGCCATTTTAATACTAAAAATATCTGCCATTCAGAAATATGCAGATCTTGGTAGGCATGGACATATTTCACTGAAATTTGTAATATTTATTAAAAATATTGGGTCTTGATGCACATCCTTTTTTTCCCTGATTGGACTTAAAATGACTGACTGGTGGCCATTTTCTTAAGAAATGTAGATCTAGGGTCATATCTCTGATGTGCCTTGGCGGATCACATTCATGGCAAAAAGGGCAGAAATTAAATGTATCATGTCTGTCATTCAAATAGCATTTAAATAGGTTGATGCTTTCTTTTGCAATTGCATGAAACCTTTAAGCCCTAAAAGTCAGCCTTCGTCACTTTTTACGAGAAAAAAACCCATAAAACGTCCATTTTGTCCAAAGTTATAGAAAAATACGTAAATGTAGGCAAAATGTTGCATTGAAGTTTTGGCGGCAAAAAAATGATTGCAGTTAAATATATCGTTTATTACATGCCCTTACTTTCCTGCAAATGTGACAACATGGTTTAGAATAGTAACATCCAGGGTATTGTGCATTTCAGTATACAATGACAGTTGCCTCTGGTCTGAAACATTACTGCCCATGCAATGAGGCATATAATGATAATAATAATATTACAGGCTGAACATTGGTGTTCCTGGCCTTGCACAAGAAGAACATTTTTCCTTCCCTGGCAAATGATCTTTTCTGTGCTTGGGCACTGATATTATACATCTAGTACTGAAAGCAATAAAATCTGTCCTGTATCAGCTAGCCCTTGTTCTAAAAAATATGAACACTTGTCATTTGACTTGTCTCATATATGCGTAAACTACACCATAATCAATGACACGTTCATTGACATCACATTCAAACAATTGTTAGTTCCCGTTCGGATGAAGTCCATATACAGAGACTCATATATATTTGGATCTCTGTGTGTCCGTCTATCTGTGCATCCATCCAGAATGGTATCTTAGAAATGCCTCGGCCAATCACATTCAAACTTTACATAAACATATATCTTTGTATATGATTATGAATATCAGATCACGTTTAAATGGCCAACGTTTTGTTTGAATGAATGCTCGCTGTTGCAGAGCCATATATTACTGACATCCCATTACTGATATTGTTCAAACTTAATAGATACATCATGTCACATATTAATTTTTAGATCTAATTCAAGATGGCTGAATGGTGGCCATTTTAATGTTAAAAATGCATCAAAATCAATCATCTCTGCCATTCCATGCTTAGATCTCTGTTATATATGGACATCTATTGTCTGTTTTTTTACATAAATTGAATATATATACTGTAAAATGGTTAATTATTCACTGGGTTTTGATTTGGCTTATTTCGCTGACTGGAAAATGCGCTAAATTAAAACCCAGTGAATATGTAAAATTTAGCATAACACACATTATCTAAATGATAAAACCGTGAATTTAAAACCGACTGAATAAGTCTGAAATGGTAAATCAGTGAAATTTAAACCCAGTGAAAATTAGTCATTTTACAGTATGATGGGACTATATTGTTTTTTTTTTCAGATTCAAAACGGCCAAATGTAAATGTTGGTTTAGAGCCATGTGTCTTTGACATACATTGACTTATCGCAATCAAACTTCAAAAACTACATTAAACATCATGTCATTTGTTTCATATTTAAAATAGCTTATTCATTTCAGATATGTTTACAAATTACATGAATTTATTTGTTTACGTTGGACGCAGGAGCACAATAGCAATGTGATGGAAATAGATTCCCGTCATAAACCTTTGCACAGTGAAACATTTTTAGAGGCCATTGTAGGCTATAATTTCCCATTATCGATACAGTTGTATCAAGCGATGTGTAAAGTATGCACAAAAACAGCACATATTGCCTCCGTACATACTTAGCGCTATTTCTTTAATAACCTCATAATATATTCTCATCTCTTTTCAGAGTTTATAAACCTGCCGTTCTTTTGCTGTGTTTCATCATTCCGACTTTACTACCGACATACTGGGACGAATCAGTCTGGAATTCTTTCTACATCTGCGCACTGCTACGGTACACTCTCTCTTTACATGCCACGTGGTGTGTCAACAGTGTAGCTCACATGTTTGGTAACAAGCCTTACGATAGATACATTAACCCAACAGAGAACATGATGGTTGTTCTTGGTGCGCTTGGCGAAGGGTTCCATAACTTCCATCATACATTCCCTAGTGATTATGCAGCGGCCGAGTTTGGAATTCAGCGCTGCAACACTACGAAAATGTTAATTGACATTTGGTGCTTTTTGGGATTGGCTTATGACCGAAAAAGCACAAGTATTGACGTGGTAAAGAAGAGAAAAATACGCACTGGTGATGGTACTAATCACACTGCTTTGCTTTATACCTAAACAAATTACTGTATGCACAAACACCTCCACTCCAATATAGTCAGTTTTTTTTCGCACAAAATTTTTGTAAAGAATGTATTTGTTTTTATCTCATTTGTAAGTGGAACCATTGTATGGTAAATAATTTCAAAGTTATATGAAATGTATAAAATATATTTGTCATGGGACCCATCGTTCCAGGTTTTTAACTGTTTTACTTTTACAAGTAAAGCGAATGTGTCTAAATCAAAGATTCAGAAATGACAGTCTTTACCCCGTCTGCTTCTGAGATTTGGTTCCATAGAACACCTCTATTAACTGAATACCTATATAAACTAAACAATTTTTTCAGTCACTTGGTTTACTTTAGACAGGTTTTAATGTATAGGAGACTTCTATAAACTGAACATCTACATAAACTAAACACTTTTTCAGTCACTTGGTTCACTTTAGACAGGTTTTAATGTATAGGAGACCTCTATAAACTGAACACCTGCATAAATTAAACACTTTTTCAGTCACTTGGTTCACTTTAGACAGGTTTTAATGTATAGAAGACCTCTATAAACTGAACACCTGCATAAACTAAACACTTTTTCAGTCACTTGGTTTACTTTAAACTATAAAAAAACCCTTAAACCAAACAATTCACTTGATGATATAGACACTGTATAATACTGAAAACCTTGGAAAATGAGCTCTTAGATGTTCAGTTTAACATACCCAAATATCAGTTCAGTTCATTGTATATATCAGTAGTTTTTAAAATAATCTGAAAACCCTCCAAAAGCCAATCACATTATTAATGTATTATTTGCGTTCAACCTGTTGCGTCTGAAAATTACAAGTTTGAAGTGAGGTTACATGCCACCTTGGGGCACAATGAATCCAAAACAGTCCAAGCCCTAAAACTAAACTAAAAAATGCATCATGCTAACTCACATAGCATTTACAAAATTCTAGCTAGTAGTACAGATATGGTAAATGATGGAATCTGTCTACTATACAACTTTCCCTTATTTTCAATTCCTTTTGTAATATAAGAAATGTGCTATAGTTTGAAAAAGTGTCCATTTTACACCAATTTCTTATATTTTTATCTATGCAATACAGAGCTAAAAATAATTTTGTGATACAAAATTACCGTAGTTGTTAACTAACAAACATGCTGACTATATGTAATATTGTATGTATTTTTGATAATAACTTGCAAGTATCAGGAAATGAATCCTTGGCCATTCAAAGATTTTCCAGCTATCTAGGTGCTGTTACTGAAAAGTGAGAACATTTGGCCAAATATAGCATAGATCTGAGAATGTACAAAATTACAGCTACTGTCCCTTTAACTGCTGCTTGGAGCCTGGTATGTTACCTACAATCAATGTCAATGTAACCTCATCTGAGCTTGGATTTTTTTCTCCATGACCGAAAGCAGATTTTTAAAAATCAAAATGGTAAAATTGTACATCAACCAGTCCTATTAATTTTATATTTTGTAGTACAGAAATTTTGAATAATATTGAAGATTTTCAGAACTGAATAGGGTCCACTAAGTTGCAGGAGGGCATTATTAGCTTTCAGTTAACTGTTGGTTACTGTCACAATCAATAAATTGATTTGTTTCTTCTGGTATACACTTCATATTTGAATTGGTGACTGAGGATTTTGATATTCTGCTCCGTGGCTGGTATTAGGCAGGAATTTCCAAGTCAAAAATATACAAAAAAATGATTTTTTGGCATTAAATTTGACAAAAAACAAAAGAAAAATAATAGTTGCCTGTCAAATTGACCGGTAGCTGGATAATACACTGCTTTGTGCAGCATGTTCACAACATCCTGACTGCCATTATGATTCTGTATGCCAGCTTACATAGAAAAAAGGAGATAACACACACAGAATAAAGAAAAATTTATTGATTGTATTTTTGTAGTGCAATAGTGTTACAGAATTCTGATGAACTCACTTAGTTTTATTGAATAAGTTTATTTTTTTTTTGTGTGAGATTCTGGTGTATGTGATATTCTGTATTGTTATATCAAATACCTGGAGACTTGTTTGTAATTTGTTTATATATGGTCACCAGTTCATACATACTAAATTTACATTAAAAATACTTTATTTAAGAAAAATATTTGGGCCATTATAATGATTGAATATTCGTCACATCTACTGCGACAAAATAGGATGGAGTGATTGGCGACATAAGAAAATATCACACGACACCAAAAATCTCCAAATATATTATTAATCAGAAAAGAAAAATCATGTTCATCAGAGTTTATATATTAATAAAATCTACTTTAATTGATCTATTGCATGTTAAATATAGTTTTTTATTCCCTGTTCGAACAAAGTTCAAAAGCAGGAGTCAAATTTCACCTCTGTGTATGCGTGCATACCTGTATCTCCGACGTGCCTGGACGGCTAATGTTAAATCCACACATTATACATCTTAGGATACATATGTATTTGTCAAATTCAAGATGGTCAAATGCCGATCAAAATAAAAACTGCTCTATGTATAGGCTCTAATATTT